AACTGTTCACCTGTCAGCAAGGGCAACGAAACAAAGGCGAAATCCAAAACAAGTTTATGCCCAAAAAAAAAGAGTGAATTATAGTTAATGTTGAACCTTAAACAGAGCAAGAGATTCCTTAAGATACTTTCACCATTCATCCTGTTAAATGATGCAGAAATGTTTTAAATGAAGGTTAATTAGTTTAATGGCTGGGATTTTCTACTTAATTGGGATTGTATTCATAAGGGTCTGCGAGGAATATGTTGGCTAGAATGAGTTACGCTTTAAAAATTCATCATAATTACGAAATAATTTCTATACGGGATTTACCAACACCATCCTGCTAATTCCAGCAACTTATTAAATGTTATTAATATTATGCGTGCTCTCGTTATGCTTTGTTGCCTTCGTTTTGGGGTTTCTTGTTGTTTTTTTTCTATCAAGTTCTAGCCATATCCAGCTGGGCAACAATTTCGTTTGTGCTTATTAATGAATGTTGTTATGTCTGGTCAGGGTTTTCCCATTTTCCTTCCGTCCCATTCCAGACCAAGTCCAACCAATTTGTTGTGCCTTTCTCTTATTTATTACATTTGCCTTGTTGAGGTCAGTATTTGTGTATTCGAACGAGTCTGGAGTGGCTGGCTATAGCCCCGCCCTCATTCTATTTGAGTCCCATAAAAGCTAACAGCCCCAGGCATTAAGTGTGTTCTCATTTGGTCCCGGGACTGAGCCTTAATTAATATGAATTAATTTTAGTGTTAATTGCAAGTGCTGGGGAATGGTTTACGCTCGCAATGCATGTGGAAGATTTCTGTCTGCTGCTTCACTTACAGCAAATTAAAGTGTTGGCACTGAGAGAAAAATGCCAGGAAAATACTATGATATTTATAAATCTAAATAATATTATAATAAACTTGTAAGTTAAGGGAGAGAAAAGCATATCCTTTTACCACAAATACATAATTTTACTCCCTGAAAGCCTCTTTAACTGGGCCAACAAAAAACCGTTTTCCCTAAACATCAATCACCTTCATCACCAGTAATTTTCTTGGCATATAACAAGTAATTAGCTTAGTTTGGAATACGATTCGGACATTATTCAGCAAAAAAGCGGCTCAAGTAATTTAGTTAATGACTTAATTAGGCTATTACTCAACTTTGCTTATGGAGAATCTCTTTTTCTGGCAGTGTAGAAATTCCATTATTGGAACAATGCTTATCGATGGGTCAGATCCTTTTACCTACAATGAAGTGAAAAAGAAAAATATAACAGAGTGTAGGCTAGATAATCGGGGACAATGTTTTCTCGCTGTTTGGTAAGAGTAATTAATATTAAGTATACGTCGTGTTTGACAGCTTTCAGTTTTTATCTGGCTAAAGAGCCTCAAAAACGTCACGTAGATAAATAGAGCCACTAAGACCCCGATGTCAAAGAGTAGCTAAATCAAATTTTCCCATTTTTTTAGTTTATTTTTTTTTTGTATTCTCCTATCTGGTGACTTGAAGGCCAAACAGGCAAGGTGGACGAGAGTAAATAATAAATAAATATTTGGAAAACGTTTCGCTAACAGGACACGTACTGGGAATTAACCAGGAGCAGGGGTATATAAGGACAACATTTTCGGCTAGAACGGAAGCAGCTGGCTGTGGCCAAGACGTGCCCAAGTCTTTGTTGACTAAAGCTTAGACACGGCCGAAAACTTTTGCCTGGCCATTAAAGTTTAAAGATGAAGGCGACAGCTTGCAAAACCGCAGAGGATTTGACCCCAGCGAATATAATCCATCCTCATACTCTCTCTCTCTTCTGCCAGAAAACCCCCCTCTCCTCATACACACTTTAAACGATTTCGGTGTTCAGGCCTTAGTAACCGCATTGGAGGTTTTCGGGCTGGCGGTTCTCTCGAAGCCCGCATAGATTTACAATCAGCTGCTGGTTTGGGCCTTATGCCACAAATCATAAAAACGCATCCACACACACACACACATAGTAACATATGTTCGTGTTAGTTCATCATGCGCCCTCCTGCGGCCATTTGGCCTGCGTATACGTGATATTTTATGGGTCACTCGCTTCGCCGACGACCCTAAATCCCATGGATGTCCTGCGAACCGATTTCTAACAAAGCTCGCACTTCGTATTCCGTTTTCCGTATTCCACTGAGGCCGTAAAAAAAACCGCTCCTTCTGCCATTTTTTTCTCTTTTCCCCGGGGAAACTCGTGTAAGTGTAATCCTAGCTCAAACTGTATCTCATTACATTTGATTTACAGATAATCAGAGCTCCTAGATGGCGGCTCTTTTCTTAAACACTTTCTCTAGAGGGTACTTAGGTGGTGGTGGGGTTGACTAAGTTGGCTGTTTCTATAGCCGCCACCAAGGTTTTGATCTTTGCTAAAGTTAGTAGCTAGTGTGAAGGGAATTTAATGCTAGGCGCCCCTCCTTAAATATGAAATTTATGGAAAAAACTAATTTAGTATATGAAAGTTGGTTAAAATTGGTTACTTATGGCTCTACATTTCAACAAGTAATAAATATCCAAAAAAATGTCCAAAAAATCCATTCTAAATGTCCTAATAAATTATGAAATACTCCTCCATTGAGTTCACTGTACTCCCCAACAGACACTATAAAATTGCATAAAGAAACAATTCAATTAACCAAAATTGCAAACGTTTTTACACATCGTTAAATGCCCAAATGCACAGAAATGTCCGAGTATTTTCCAAAAAGGATGTCAAAAAAAAATGTTGTTGTGAATTTCATTTATTTCCCAGGAGTCTCACATTTCTGGGTGGCACTCTGACAAATAAAAAAAAAACAGGATGGAACGACCCCCACTCAGTTGACCCGGAAATGGCATGAAAAAAGGTGCAACCACCCACAGCAAACAAATGCATGTATGACTAGCAGTCAAGTGTCCAACAAATTTGCACAGATTTTTGCATCTGCAATTTCATATGCCTCTGTTTGGGGCATCAAAATGGTAGCCAACCAATGAATAAATATATATATATATGATTTATTTTTAAGACCAACAGCCTGAGGCGAATGTTTGGCCTGAACAACATTTAACAGAAAACATTCAATTAAATATTACGAAGCGGTTTTTTCCCTTGCCAAGATTGAAAAATGTTCTCGCTCAAAGAAGCACGAGCTGAAAGCCAAACATTACACGAAAAATTGTGTGTAAAATTAAAAAAAAAAAAGGAAAGGAGAATGAGAACTGGATGTTGGAAATAAATTGAGCAAAATGGTGGCAGCTACTTAAGTGAAAATATTTTTGCGCTTGTAATAACTTGGCTGCTCTAACCACAGTCTGGGCCTGGCTAAAAAGGAGAGCCCAAAAGCGCAACACGAAAGGCGCTTAAGTGCTGTGGCTTTTGGTTAGAGATGGGAAAAGGGAATTCATGAAGCTATGAATATCACGTTAATGTTGGTTTAAAATAAGTTTAATTATTTTTCTTGAGATTATTGGAATTTGAGATGCCACAATTATGTTCTTTAATGTTGAGTTTTTAATTAATAAGATAATTAAGAAGATTGATAAGATTACAGATTCCTTTATTTCCTAGAACTAAGTATCCTTTTCGTGCTGAAACTTACCAACGGAAACCCATCTCTAGGCAGGCTTTTTAGATCTCGACTGCATTCATACATATTTCGATTAAGCTCGTTCTTGGTCTACTTTGCCGAAAAACGGAAAGCGGAAATTTACACAAAGAAAGGATGTAGCACACGACCGGGCTGCGGCTATAAGACGGAATCGCAGCTGTAGCTGCATCTATGGCCCAGGGCCCAAGACCAAGACCAAGCCCAAGCCCAAGCCCAAAGTGGGCTAAAATTGTAGCACGAGTATGACTGACAGGCCATTAATTTTGGATTACCCGGCCAGGACCACCGACGGTTTCAGGCAAGATTCGTCGACAGGAGGCCACCGACAAAAAACTGCACATACATTTCGCTATGGCGGTGGCCCTTAGACGAGGCTGTTAAACATTTCATAATGCCTCGACACACATTTCGGCCGCTCCTTCGGTTCGGCGGTCGTTAACGTTAATGACAACTTAAGTGGTCATGTATAATTTCTGTAAATTATTGCCTACCTATGCAACAAACTGGTAACAATGAAGTGGCCCAAACATTGGTAAAAAGGTTTAAGGAGTTTACGAAGCTGAAGCTTTAATGTTAAACTCGTCTAAGTTGTAAGATTGTTTTGTGGGTACAAAAATATTATAATCAGAGGTCTAGACTTGTATCTAAGCAATCATCTTTAAAAACATAAATTAACTAAATACCAAAATCTAGAGTAGAAAATTTCTGACCTTCCTGGGGGCAACACGACACAATAATAACACCAGTCATGCCATAACAAAAGGCGACGACAAATCTAATTACATAATAAGCCTTTTAAGGGCTTACAAGCCGAAAAACGTAAAGTTTTCATGTCGACGATTGCAATGAAAGTGTCGACTCAGACACTTTTCTGCCATCAACAAGATGCCATCTAAGCCAGTAGATCCTCCCTCCAAAAAACCAAAATTCAATTAATGTAATTCAGTTGAACATGGAAACTAATTTGGCCACCTTTGGCTGAAAGGAAAATAAAATTGCGACTAATTAAGTAATGAATACAGAAGAAGAAAACTTGCAGAAAGTTTACAAGATGGTTGGGCCTTAACCCCTTACCAAGAAAGTAAATCATGTTCATCAACTTAAATATTAAAGGGTACTCGTAGGCATAAGTCAAGCAGTATAAATGTACAAATCTGGAGGCATAAATCACAATTTCTTTGCCATTAAGACGAGACCGCAAGGATTTGTGGCGACTCCGCTGAGTTTGTTGATGGCGAGGGAATCTGCCACAGTGTTTGGTGGCGAACACCAGCTGTGTCTGTGGCATTTATTCCTCGTTCCCGACATTTAGCCAAGAAAAAAGTTATAAACACTAAGGGTTTCCATAATTTACCAGCTTTATGGCCATATAACTTTAGGGCTAACAATAGTAAACCATCTCTCAAATTCTGTAAAAAATAACCTTAATTTTTAATTGAAATAAGTTTAGGTAAAAACAAATTCAATATTAACAACAATCGACCATATCCTCTCCCAACTTGATACCTTTCGCAATACTCTCCTTCAAGATGGGCAGCATAAACTTCAAGGCTTTCTGCTCCGCATCGTCCAATTCCGGCAGTCCGACATTATGCTTGATACCCTTGGGGCCCAGGATCAGTTGGGTAGCAAAGAACTGGGCCTCAGTCACATCCGATTCCACATAGGCACACTCCACTATACACTCTTTTGAGCCCATGATAGCCTTGATAAGAGAATTAACAAAGGTAGCTGCAGCGTGGGCCATTGATAGGGTAGCGGATCCCAGACCAGCCTTGGCATTGACCACCTCTGTGCCCGCATCTTGGATGCGATGGATCAGTGCATCTCGTTCCTTGTCGTTGCCCTTGTAGGGAGGATCACACTGTGAGAGTATGGGCAGGATAGTGCGACCGGTATGGCCACCGATGACGGGCAAATTGACATTTTGTGGACTAACATTAAGGATTTCACCAACAAAAGTCTTAGCTCGAACCACATCGAGGGTGGTAACTCCGAAGAGTCGATTCGGGTCATATGTACCTTTGGCCTTGAGAATAGTGGCCACGATGGGTACAATCACGTTGATTGGATTCGTGATGAAGGCGAGCATGGCTCCAGGACAAACGGCGCTGGCTGCAATTGCAACTTCGCAAGCCACGCTAGCATTCACGCCCACCAAATCCTCTCGTTTCATTCCGGGCTGTCGGGGCATACCTGCCGGAATCACCACTATATCCGCCTTTTCAATTGCCTTTTTTAATCCATCCTTTCCCTCGAATGGGCACACCGTAGATTTCGTATTGATATGCGATAGATCTGCAGCAACTCCATTAGTATTCTTTATGTCGTGCAGAGTTAGCACCGAGATGTGGGGATTCTGCTTGAGAAGAAGGGCGAGCGGTTGTCCGATTCCACCCACTGCACCCACAACGGCGACCTTAAGACCGCGCCTGCTGCTGCCAGCGCATCCATACTTGGGGGGAACAAGAGGCACTCTGCATACCTGGGTGAACAACCGAAGACTAAACATTTTTAAATTTTTATATAAACTGATCAAAGCTTATTAAGATTACTGTAGAAGGCAAAGGAGAATTCAAATGTACAGCAAACCAGATTTGATGTATTTGTAAAAAGTACTTCAGTCACTTCCATAACTCTCAATAAAATCTTATGTCTGGTATTTTTATAGTTTTAAGTTTGTGTTGGTTTGTATTCTACATGCAAATGTAATATTTTATAACATATGCAAGCTGGTCACTCTAAACTTTAAACTTAAAAACTTTACTAAGAAAATATATCACTTTATCATCAAATCAATTTCATTCCGAGAAAAATGTTTCTATTTGGAGGTATAAAATCCTTAACGAATATATCACCACGGAATGTTGTGGTCCGCAACTTCAAGGTAGCCATAGTTGGTGCTGGAGGAGGAATAGGGCAACCGCTATCGCTCTTGATTCGTCGAATTCCTGGCATTGATGAGCTGGCTTTACATGATCTCTCCGATACTAAGGGAATCGCTGCGGACTTATCGCATATCAGCCAATGGGGAAGAGTTTTAGCTTTTAAGGGCGATGAGGAACTGGAACCGGCACTGTGTGGAGCGGATGTAGTGGTTGTGGCTGCAGGTATGCCACGTCGCCCAGGAATGGAAAGAGATCAGCTAATGGCCGTCAATGGCGGTTTGGCAATCAAGGTTGCCACTGCCGTTGGCAAAGCCTCTCCAGGTGCACTCTTGGCTTTCATCACCAATCCCATCAACATGATTATACCAACGGCAGCGGAAGTCCTTAAGGCCCAAGGGATCTTTGATCCTCGTCGTCTCTTCGGTGTTACCGCTTTGGATGTAGTGCGTTCGGAAAAGTTTATAAGTGATTTTATGAACATTTCCCCGAATGGAGTAAACATTCCTGTGATCGGTGGCCATGCCGGCATCACAATTCTACCGCTCATCTCTCAGTGCAAGCCGGGTTTTAAGGGTACTTCCGAAGATATCGAAAAACTTACCTATCGCATCCAAGAAGCGGGAACAGAGATAGTCAATGCCAAGGCTGGCCTGGGATCAGCAACCCTATCTATGGCCTACGCCGCTGCAAGTTTCGTGGAATCCCTGATCCGAGGACTTAATGGTCAGGAGGACGTAGTCGACTGTGCCTACGTCGCATCGGAATTAACTGATGCACCTTTCTTTGCTAGTTCTTTGGAATTGGGAAAGTATGGAATTAAGAGTTATCCGCCACTTCCACAAATGAGTGACTACGAAAACGAGTCTTTGGAAAAACTACTACCTATTCTACGACAAAATGCCGACGAGGGTGTTGCTTTTGCGAGGAAGTGTCTAAAGGATATATCTCCTATTCCAGCAGCTTTGCCCTGAGATCAGAAAGATATAAATATATATTTTATACACATTAAATAACTTTACTTAAACACTTTCATGGCATTAGGGTTAAGAGTTGTGATGGCAAATCTTTAAATTCATTTGGTTTTATTTCTGTTTAAATTGCCGCAAATAAATTGCTTCCAAAATATATCTGTGGGCCACCGTATATCGTCTGGCAGTAAATTACATTTGCACTGAGACGCTTTCTGCTCGACCTGCTAACAAATTGCTTGGCCATCTTTGGCTCCTCAACATCCTTCCTTTCTATGCGATATGTGGCCCCCAAAAGTAGGCAGCAATTTTCTTCACTTTATTTCACACTCACAACATAAAAACGAAAAACACATTGGGTGTGTCCATTTTATCTTTTTGTTTCATACCCCTCCACCCTCTTCAGTGCCAACCACAAAAAAAGAATGAAAGTGGCTGGCCCAAAAACTTTCTTGCGACCCAGTTTCACTTTCACGAGGAGTTCACCTGGCCAAGTTTTAGTTTGAGCTTGGGTGTGAGTAATTCCACTATTGCGGCTGCATTTGTTGCTGCCACACAGTCTGACAACAAGATAAATTAAGCCCAGGCATTTCAGACAACATGTTGGCCAGTGGGCCACCTACGCCAAACAGAGAAACCAGAAAATGTATTTCCAAATAACAAAACATAAGCCAAGCTAAAGGTGTCTCAGTTAAGTGGCTTTCCAAGTCATTACTTTGGAGAGTTATATGTCGCTTAAAGATTCGAAAAATAATATTAAAAGGAACATGTGTTATTTCGGTTAAATTATAATCTATACAATATATTATTCAGATTTCCTTAATACAAAATATTTCACATTTCAGTGTACCTTTTTCGCCTATAACAATTTTCTTTGGTATATCATAAATTTCCACTTTCTGGCCTCCTGGCAATTTGTTGTCGTTTTGTGGCCATATATTTCATACGCAACACTTTCTGTTTATGGGTTAACTAATTGCAGGAAGAATCTAAGCCACATCAGCAAACAATTTTCGGCCGAACTACTTTCCTCGAGTTTTCCGTAGCACTCTTATTTCTGATTTGGTTTCGCTGCTGCTTTCTATTTATTTGGACACAAACTTTTTTGCGGGTCATGGCAAGTGTTTACCTGAGCATTGCGAAACTTTATTTATTAGCCCAAGTCATTTGGTCCCGAGTTCGCCTCTTCTGATGTTGATCTTTCCGGGCATATTAAAAAACTTGCGCCAAGTAGCAAAATCATAATACTAAAACTTGGTTTTTTTATTGGTGAATTTCGGTTGGCTTTTAGTTTCACTTTTATTAAAAGCAAAAATCTATAAATATTTAGTATACATAAAAGTTAAATAACTTTTTTGAATTTGAAAATTAATTCCTTCCACACAAGTTCTTTCTAAAAGATTTATTCGTCGCATCCTTTTTCGGACAAATGTGAACCCAAAATACGAATCTGAACAAGCTCGCTTCTCGCTTATCAAAACAAATAAATTCCTCGGGCTAAATGTGTTCATTTATCTTAATTTAGCAATTTAGAATGCCAAGCGGGGGAGCTGTAGAATAATTTTTCACACTATTTTCATAGATCCTTGTCAAAATAGGATAGCGCCTCAGGAAGCGCAGGAAGTCCGAGCAGCTGGTCTAAAGCTGGCCCAGACCGTTTAATTTCCATGGAGTTGGACATAAATTTCCCAGTTGGCTGTAATTTCTAGCCATGGGTTTTGGAAAAGGCAAACCTTTTTGTGGGAGTAAACAAGGAAACCAAAAGTTGCAGCTTGGAATTCGCATTCGATGCGAATTTATGGCCATTGCCCTCACCTTTGGCCAGATGTTTTTTTTTTTGGGTAATTTATTTCGTAAGCGGCCAAAACAAACACGTTAATTTCGCAAATTAGTAGCATGTGTTGTCCCCCCTTACCGTGGCTTAATTAGTTTAAAAGGCCCGACCGATGGATCGGATCGATAAGTCCACCAGTTGCGAGTTGTCTGAGGGTCCTTTGGTGGGCCATAACTTTGCTATACTTTTGCACTTGTCAGCGTCCAGGACGAAGGAGATGAATTGGAGCGGCTACTGCCAAGAGCTTCCTAGTCGATGTAGTGGCCCTTGGCTCGCGGATCTCCATAAATTCCTGGCCAAAAAGGCGATGGCTGCCAAAACTATTACTCACACTCCTCCTCCGCCAACGTCGACGGACGGATAATTCAAATTGTCCATTACGCGCAGCTGCCGCTCGATTTGAGTCCTTTGGCAATTGGCCGGGTACTCCCCGTACTAGCCGTGCCAACTTTTCCGCTTTTGTTTGTCTTCATAAATTTTACTTTCAAACCGGAGGGGAAAAAAAAGAAAATTTCAACTGAATTTAAGTCGCCTGTTTGGGGGAAAATTCGGTTGGCTAATTGCGAATCAACAGAAGCTGGACTAAAAAAAAAAAAATGAAATGCCAATGCCAATCAATAAAAACAATTGAAAACCAATCAGAGTTTAATTACCGCAACAAAACGCTGATGAGACGTCGACAGTAAACAGAAAATCCCGCACAAGGAGCGAAATCACCAAACCATAAATCAATAGCAAACAAAAACGCTTCTGGACAGAGGGGAGTGGTGGTTCGTACATATATATGTATTTATATCCTTGGGGCATGGAGTACACAGCAGTGAGCATGGAGCATATGAGGCGCAACCAAGTAGACCGCAGAATAAAGGCAACAATAAAAATTGGCAATAGGATGGACTCGTTAAAGTGTAGGGGCCATGAGGATGGCCATAAACAAAGAAGTAAACAAGCGCCCAAGTAGACATACACATACTCGGAACAACATGCAGGCATAGCATATATGAGTCTGTACATAAAAATGTCTCCTTGGGTGGACTTCCGCCGGAAATGGAGTGCAGAACGAGCAGCACTTGTCTGCTGATATCACCATCGATAGACGAGGCGCATAAAAGCCTGCTAACCAGCTCAAAGGCATCATCATTACGAGCTTGACACGAATATAAAATGAATAAATAAACAAATCATGTGGGACTTCTGGGAAAAAAGGAAATTTATGCTTAGAAAAGTATCATATCTTTTAATATGACTTTCATCATTTGGTGATTATCCTGTTTGATTTTTGTGACAAATCTTAGAACACAAATTAAAATCATGTTTATGATTTATTTTTATGTTCCATTACTTAAAATTCAAATAAAGCTATCATAATCATGAAGTAGTTAAGCAATTTTTGCTATTTTAGAAATTTTGGTCGTTTTCGTACTAACCCGACTTCATGATTTCTCGTCTTACACCAGCAGATGGTTTTTCCCAAGACTTGATTAAATATTGCTCAATAAGGTCCAGCAATTTGGCCCCCCAAAGACCACTAGCTGTTTTCTTTGGCAATTCAGTCTTAGTTTAATACAGGATGCAGTTGCACGACTATATGAAGTATATAGACATGGCTTGCTGGATGGCATGCATACCGCGATACCAATGGACAGGTCGGACCGCAGACAGAAAATCATATAGTTTGGCGAAAAAGTCTCTCTTCATATTTGGAGTCATTTGTTTGATTTATCAGATTTTTGGACAAATTACCTATTTGTATAAAAATGGACGAAAGGAACAGGATACGGAAACTTTTGTTGCAGTAATATCGGAAACGTTCGGTTCTTTAATGCTAACCACTGTCGGATTTGCTAATATATATGCCTTGATGAAGAATCGTCATCAAATCGAAATAATGTTCGAGGAGCTCCATAAGATATATCCGAGAATCAGGGATAAGCACTTTCGCTGCCAGCACTACTACGACATGGCCATTCTAATCATGAAAATAGAGTTTATGTTTTATATGGTCTTCTATGTGTACTACAATAGTGCCCCTCTTTTCGTGCTTTATTGGGAATACCTACAGGAAGAACAGGATTTAAGTTTTAAGATGCAAACTAACACTTGGTTTCCTTGGAAAGTCCAGGGCTCAACCATCGGATTTGGTATGGCTTTACTTAGTATATCGTTGGCATCCTTTGTGGGCGTTGGCTTTAGTATAGCCACCCTGAATATTGTCTGCATTTTTACTTTCCAACTGAAATTGCACTATGATGGCATGGCAAGTCAGTTAATGGATCTTGATTCTCGTCAGTCTGGAGCCCATGAGAAGTTGAGGAATCTGATAGCTTATCACTTTCACATTCTTAAAATGGGGGACCAGTTCAATCAGATCTTAAACTTTATATTCGGGAGCAGTTTAGTTGGTTCGACTATTGCCATTTGTATGACAAGCGTGGCTGTACTTCTGCTGGACGTGGGATCTGCCTTTAAGTACATAATCGGACTGATTGCCTTTGTCCTTTACCACTTCGTCATCTGCTATATGGGAACTGAGGTCGCTTTCGCAGTAAGTATGACACGTGTTCATATATTTTTAAGATAATTTTACTGCTAAGTATCTTAAGACTCTACCATATGGCAATCTGAACAGTTGTCTGTTCTCAGGGAGCCCAATATAGTTGCTTAAAAATTACCCAATTAGACCTGCAGACTGACGAACTCATATAAAAGACCTTACACTTCCGGGCAATATCAAGTCCCTCGTAGCTTAGAACAGAATGCAGTTGATTGACAATATAAAGTATATAGACACAGCCTGTAGGTTGGGATGTGTACCACTCTACGAATGGATTGGAGGACCAAGAAAGAGGGATCAATTAAATCTGGTCAGAAAATATCTGTTCTTACTTGGTTGCGGCTTTTTGGCCTATCAGATTTTCGGCATATTAACTTATTGGTTTCTTTTTGGCCGAACTGAGAAGGATACGATTAAGTTTGTAAGCGAACTTTCGGAAACATGTGGATCGCTTATGTTAATCTTTGTGGCGAGCAGCAATGTCTTAGGACTGACAATAAAGCGTCCTTATATACTGGCCATGTTTGGGGAGTTCCAAAAGCTCTATCCAGATCCAAGAAATAAGAACTATCGATGCCAGCACTACCAAGAGATGGCGATTCTTACAATGAAGTTTCAGTTTATATTCTATATAATCTTCTATTTATATTACAATGGTGCACCGCTGTTGCTCCTCCTGTGGGAGTATGTTATGGATAAACAGGAAATGAGTTATAGGACACAAACGAATATGTGGTTTCCTTGGAGGGTTCAAGGTTCACCATTTGGCTATGTGATGGCTATCCTTATCCAAGCTTTTTCATCGCTTTTGGGAGTCTGCTTTACTGTAAAAACTTTAAATATCGTTTGCATATTTACCTTCCAACTGAAAATGCACTGCGATGCACTGGCAAGTCAGCTAATTTGCTTAGATTCCCGTCAATCTGAATCCAATGAGAAGTTAAGGATCTTAATCGCCTACCATTGTCGCATCTTTGAACTAATGGAGAGAATTAATTGGATTTTGAACCCAAGTTTCCTGAGCAGCCTCATTTTGTCCACCATTGCCATTTGTATGACCAGTGTGGCTATCCTGCTGCTCGATTCGGCATCTGCCTTTAAGTATATCAGTGGCCTAGTGGCATTTGTCCTCTACCACTTCGTCATCTGCTATATGGGCACTGAGGTCACCAAAGCGGTAAGTAATTAATTAAGTTAGTATACTAAAAAATGGAGTTTTAACTTATTTTCCCTGGCCGGAGTGTTGTTTTCAACGATTGCCATTTGCATGTCCAATGTGGCGGCTCCTTGATTTGTGATCTGTTATTAAATACGGAAATGGTTTAGTTCCTTTTATTTGCTATAACTTTGTTACCTGCTACTTGGGCACTGAACTTGCATTGGCGATCAGTTTTTAAATAACTATTATATTTACAAATTATTTTTGCATAATACAAATATTATTATGAAGTATAACCGTTAATGACGGTTATGATGTTACCCCTTTTCAAAAATGCGAAAATCGCCCTGTCCCGAATTGAGTCTCAAAATATCAGTATTTTCCTCATTACAAAGCCAAAGATGATCGTATCATGGAATGTTATATCTTGTTGAGTTCGTAATTAAATTCCCCGTCGAACTGTGTACCACACTTAAAAAGTGAGTTTTTTCAGATTTTTCAAAAATGCGAAAATCGCCCTGTCCCGAATTGAGTCTCAAAATATCAGTATTTTCCTCATTACAAAGCCAAAGATGATCGTATCATGGAATGTTATATCTTGTTGAGTTCGTAATTAAATTCCCCGTCGAACTGTGTACCACACTTAAAAAGTGAGTTTTTTCAGATTTTTCAAAAATGCGAAAATCGCCCTGTCCCGAATTGAGTCTCAAAATATCAGTATTTTCCTCATTACAAAGCCAAAGATGATCGTATCATGGAATGTTATATCTTGTTGAGTTCGTAATTAAATTCCCCGTCGAACTGTGTACCACACTTAAAAAGTGAGTTTTTTCAGATTTTTCGTAAAATTTTATGATGTTACCCCTTTCCAAAAATGCGAAAATCGCCCTGTCCCGAATTGAGTCTCAAAATATCAGTATTTTCCTCATTACAAAGCCAAAGATGATCGTATCATGGAACGTTATATCTTGTTGAGTTCGTAATTAAATTCCCCGTCGAACTGTGTACCACACTTAAAAAGTGAGTTTTTTCAGATTTTTCAAAAATGCGAAAATCGCCCTGTCCCGAATTGAGTCTCAAAATATCAGTATTTTCCTCATTACAAAGCCAAAGATGATCGTATCATGGAATGTTATATCTTGTTGAGTTCGTAATTAAATTCCCCGTCGAACTGTGTACCACACTTAAAAAGTGAGTTTTTTCAGATTTTTCGTAAAATTTTATGATGTTACCCCTTTCCAAAAATGCGAAAATCGCCCTGTCCCGAATTGAGTCTCAAAATATCAGTATTTTCCTCATTACAAAGCCAAAGATGATCGTATCATGGAATGTTATATCTTGTTGAGTTCGTAATTAAATTCCCCGTCGAACTGTGTACCACACTCAAAAAGTGAGTTTTTTCAGATTTTTCGTAAAATTTTATGATGTTACCCCTTTCCAAAAATGCGAAAATCGCTCTGTCCCGAATTGAGTCTCAAAATATCAGTATTTTCCTCATTACAAAGCCAAAGATGATCGTATCATGGAATGTTATATCTTGTTGAGTTCGTAATTAAATTCCCCGTCGAACTGTGTACCACACTTAAAAAGTGAGTTTTTTCAGATTTTTCGTAAAATTTTATGATGTTACCCCTTTCCAAAAATGCGAAAATCGCTCTGTCCCGAATTGAGTCTCAAAATATCAGTATTTTCCTCATTACAAAGCCAAAGATGATCGTATCATGGAATGTTATATCTTGTTGAGTTCGTAATTAAATTCCCCGTCGAACTGTGTACCACACAAAGTGAGTACCAAAAGTGAGTTTTTTCTGATTTTTCGTAAAATTTTATATTCATATTAATATTAACATATTTAATAACAGACATGCCAACTTAATAAAAACTAGCCAAAAATGTTATGCCCGCGAAGTTTAAATTGAACATTTTAGAAACTATTTTACATCTTGTTTTAACGATAGACATTTTGAAAGGAATCAATGATATATCAGAATTTATAGAATATTGCATATGGGGGCTAAGAAGCTGTTTTCTTCCTAGCTAATTTGATTTCGAATATATTAATAATCTGCTTCCAAATTATCCTGACTAAGTGCTTCACATTATGAATTTCAAATTGAAAAAACCTCCTAAAAGACTAGGACAGTTGCACATTCCCACAATAGATTGTCAATTACAATATTTTACAGCAGAATATGGCAGTACGCTACCATTCACTAATCCCTCAAGACCAGATGGAGTTAGAGGACTTTATGTGGTATCAGGACCTAGTGTGTCAGGTGTCCCAACTTCCAAGATTCGAATGGAGTGGGAGACGATTCGCGAGTGTCGAACGGAACCTAGCAAAACGCATAATCTTTTTATGTGAAGCAGTAAATCTGTTATATCACAATATTGGATGCATTATGTACGGCTATTTCGTTGTTGAAAATACACATGATCCGATTGAGTATTTAGCAGAAATGGCTGCCGTGGGCAGCATGCTTGGTTTTACCATTTTGGGAACTCTCAACTTATGGCAGATACTGAAACTTAAGCCACATGTTGAAGAACTATTGAAAGATTTTGAAGAGCTGTTTCAATTTGCAAAACAGAAACCATATCGGACAAGGCACTATCACGAGTCATATACGAGTTATGTAAAAATATGGTTTATTATCTACACATTTTCCGTTGTCTACTACAATTTACAACCTTTTATTCTCATGATTTGGGAACATCTGAAGGACTCACCAGAATTGAGCTATCAGATTCAGAGCGGCACCTGGTATCCATGGCGGATTCAAGGATCTATTACTGGCTTTCTTGTAGCGATAATCTGTCAGGGTTTTTCGTGCCAAGTCATCATGTGCTCCATTTTGCTTAGCCAGTTTCTAATAAGCTTCTTTGGCATCCAATTGGAAATCCATTTTGATGGTTTGGCCAGTCGACTTAAAGGCATTGATGCACGATATCCCATCGCCAGGGATCAGTTAACATATCTTATAGTGTATCACAGTAAATTATTTAATCTGGCGGATAGAGTTAATCGATTGTTCAACTTTACGTTTTTCGTAAGCTTCTCGCTATCCATAATTTCCATGTGTTTTTTGGCCAATTGCATGACCATGTTTGATTTGGTTTCGGGCTTTAAACATTTGCTTGGACTTCTCATATTCTTGATCTACAATTTTTCTATGTGCAGGAATGGTACCCACTTGATTTATGCGGTAAGTTCTTAAGGGGCTAAGAATATTTTATTAAATATATGTGAGGTGACGTTATGGGCAACAGTTGGCAGCCCTACAAAATATCGAATAGAGTCGTGTCGAGAAGAAGTCCAGCACTAAGAAGTAAAAATGTAAATAAGTATATTTCTTATATTAAGAACTTTGCAAGTTTCATCACTTTAAAGTTTTGCAAGGATTTTAACGAGAACAATGTAGAGCCTCGTCCTTTGCACACAGATTTATAATTGACATAATAATCCAATTATAAGAGTTGCATGTTCTCGGTACATTATCGCTGGTAGGCTGTTTGCTTAATTTTCCCAATTTTTTTCATGAAAATTCCAATTATTAACTGGTCGTCAGAGCGATGTAATACAAGGCCTGTGTGCACTTTAAGGACATGGTATGTCGATGGGATTTAATGCTAAAAACAAGAGGAAACGCTATAGTCGAGTGCCGCGACTATAAGATACCCGTTACTGTTTTACACAATTTTAAAATATTAATTTTGCTAGTGGAAATTCACAAGGCGCCACCTATTGTCAGAGGAAGTATGTTGAGTATGCTTATAGTGACGTCACTGCCCATGTGGAGCCTTATAACCTTAATTTCTTCATAAATAGCGAAATAATGTTCCGATTTGAAAAATCTTTTGTTAATCGATAGATATTAACAGAAATAAGTCACACAAGGTCAAACGAAGGCATTCATAATAATATTATAGACTCCACAGTTTTCCGCGGTTTGTGGGCGTTACAGTGGGCGTGGCCGGATGCAACTTCGTGGCAAGTTGCAGAGGCATCTCCTAAATACGTGTTCCTAAGCAAAATTGTGTAGCTTTTATAGTTTTTGAGATTTTTGCATTTTTGGTTTTTCGGGTTTTGTGGGCGTTAGAGTGGGCGTGGCGTGATCGGAAAAAAACAATTCGCATTGGGAGCATCATAGAAACATACATGCTTGATCCGAACTTTCTATATCTTATAGTTACCGAGATATCAGCTTTTCTAGAAAATCCGAAAACCGTCTTTTGAGCCTTGTGGGCGTATGGGTGGGTGTGGCCGGATAGTAGTAGCACTATAAGATACGCTGTCATATTAAGATTATACTTTCTGAATTTCAACTTTCTATCTGCAATAGTTCCTGAGATTTTAGCAATTTTAGTTTTTTGCCATTTGTGGGCGTTAGAGTGGGCGTGGCAGGATGCTGTAATAAACTTGCGCTGTCCCGGGACCTCAAGAATCTTCATGCCTAATCTCAGCTTTGTATCTGCTATAGTTCCTGAGATCTCAGCGTTCATACGGACGGACGGACGGACGGACGGACGGACGGACGGACGGACGGACGGACGGACGGACGGACGGACAGACGGACATGGCTCTATCGACTTCGCTATTGATCCTGATCAAGAATATATATACTTTATAGGGTCGCAAAAGCTTCCTTCTATCTGTTACATACTTTTCATCGAATCTAGTATACCCTTTTACTCTACGAGTAACGGGTATAATTAAATAAAAGTTACAGAGAGACCAGGAATATAAGATTTTTCAGTATTCCCTAGTTTTTGGTAACCTTTCTGAATACTGTAAAGTTTTTGAACAGTTTAGTTAAGCTAATTAAAGATTATATACAGTTATTTGCTAATGCTTCCCTCTTTTTTCAGAGCGACAAAGTTTTGCCAGCTGCCTTTTATAACAATTGGTACGAAGGAGATCTTTCTTATCGAAGGACGCTGCTTATCCTAATGATGCGTGCCACGAAGACTTATACTTGGAGAACCTACAAGCTGACACCGGTATCCATAACCACCTATATGGCTGTGAGTTTTTCTTGGATTTTAATAATATGTTACTTAAAGGTTTTCAAATTCTTGCAGACTTTGAAATTTTCTTACCAAATGTTTACCTGCGTGCGATCCATGAAATAAAAAGAAAAAGGAGGATGAAAAAGAGTTAAGATCTTAATATATATCAGTATAAAAGCAAAAAAGAATTAGAAATCTGTAGAACGATAACTTACCTTATTCTGCTTATAAATGATTTATAGTTGTTGGAAAAATATATCTAATCAAAGTATAAAGTAAAATTAGAAGTAGGAAGTATTGAAACAAAAACTAAATTATAAACCTTTATGTAGAATGCTATTCAACTTCAACTTCAACTTACCTAAAACAAAATATTGTTTTTATAAAGATATTTAATCGAAATACTAATAAATACGTTTAAAATAAATGTAATTTTCTGGGAATAAATTAATATTTCTTTAAAGAAATCTTACTTAATAGGCGTCGATCTAGAACTTTACAAATTTCTCTTTAATATAATTACAAAAATAAATAACTTAACATTTATTTTATGCCCGCTGCTAATTAAAAATTCCCTAAATTTGTCAGAAACCCCAAAGAGTTGACCCAGTAACTTCCTCACACTCAATGGCCCAACAATGCAAAAATGAAAAACAGAAATAACAAGGAAACCCCTGAACAAAGCAATTTAAGACAGGATGAAAGACAAAAACCTCGGGTTTTGCGAATATGGAAGGATATTTGAAAGGAAGCCAACTAAGTGCCCGCTTCAGTGCTCTTTCTGGCTGGCACTAAGCAAACTTATTAAAGCCAGACAAAGGTTGTCAGGGTCGCAGGTTTTTCATTGTGGGTGAAGTAGGAGGATGGTTGTGTGTCCAACTTTTCATTTGGGAAATGCAAGAGCGTAAAATTAAGTTCTTTGCTAAAAATTGTTGGAAATTATGTACAAGTCACCTGGCCGTACCTTCTTCTTCGCCATCTGGCGGATCCGGGGGGCTGGGACGTCGTCCGTCATATGCTGGGGCTGAGTGGCTGTGATGGGTGTGATTATCACGTCGTTATCCTGGATCAGTGGCAACAGCGTTACCATCGTATTTTGCACACCTCCATCTCCAGCTTTCTTCGACCACCCCCCCTCACTTGCCACGCCTTTATCTTCTTCTCGGACCCTTGTCCTTGTTTTATATAATAACATTTTAATTCCCTTAATACACGCTACGCTGCCCGCAAAGCCAAACAAACTGAAGGACCGCCCAGAATGCTGTTGCTGTCTCGTCGCTGCTGCCTGTTTTTGCTGGCCTGTTTTTTGGCTCTCAAGTTGGCCAAGAATTTTGATGTTTTTTCGGTTAGTTTGTTTGTGCGTGCAAATCATTAATCATGAACAGCGCATATTTATTGTTCTGCTTTCGATGACAGCTTTTTGCTGGCCATGGATTTTGCACGTTCCATTTAAGGCCCAGGCTCTTGCCTCGATTAAAGATTTAATATTTAAAGTGTTGGAGCTGGAAAAACTGCAAAATTGTATTATTTTTTAAGATAAGTTATACGTATTTTATGAAATTTCTTGTTATAACCTCTGATCTTGGTCATATTTTGAGGCACTATTAACTTTTCAATTTATTTTCCAAACCTTAAACTTTAATCCCTAACTATCGGCATAAATTCTCATCCCAGTGATTATATAGGCTAATTGCAATCGGGGATCTTTAGTTCTACTAAGCCCTTCCAGCTGACAGCTCACAAAAGCACGTTTGGCAGTTAATTGAGTCATCAGCTTAGACAACAGCCGGGGTGGCCATATGAAAAAGATTGTGAATTGCCCAATCATGTGGAAGTGACTGCCAAGACCTTTAAAGTACACACACATCCCAGTATGCCCAGAACAATGGCCAAAGGAATAGAGAGAAATCTGGCCAGAGGAGCACATCCTACGCCCGCCCACATACACACAGAGAATCGACAGTTTGTAGAAAAATTGACATAGGACCAGGACTGGAGGGGGTATACAGCTGCAGGATCATCATTGCAGGCCTTGTTGTTTACTCTGGGCTCAGGACCCTTTACCCCCGCAGAAGTCCAAGTCCAAGTCCTGACCATAGCCTTGATAAGTTTTTAGCAAACAAAAGCGGCTCGTTACAGCAACATGGGTCTTGGGAATTGGTCGGGTGAACCCCAAAACAAACCGAACTGAGCCAAACTGGCCCAAGCTGCGATGTGCATTTAAAATTGCATACACAAAACACGAAAATTCCCACAGCCCGGCTGCCAGAGTCAAAACCACAAAATGTACTCAAACAACATGTCTCAATTTCGTAGCTAAACTTGCCCCCATTTCGGTGGATCGAGGATATGGTGGAAGGGATGGCTGAGAGGGTATATGTGGTCTTGGCTGAATCACCCGAAATGGTAATTGAAAATGTTATGTAAGATTGGTGGACGGGGGGGTGGGTTCGTTCTAGCGATATTGTGGTCCAGAGAAACGGCAGAACATAATTGGCTTTGGCTTGGTATCGTTTAAAAGTTATAGACTAGATTGCAACAAACAGTCTTCTCCTGTGGCTATTTTGGGGAAATGCTTGGTTGGTTGGTTGGTTGGTTTGAAGGTGGAAGGTTCTAAGGGATGTGGTTTTAAGTAATAGAAGTTGTTAGCAATTAAGAAAGCAACTTCTGTTGTACCTTTCTCTTTAAATAATTGTTTTTATCGCCTAACTTTCCTTTTAAATTGAAATCTACTTAAAAAGTCTCTTTAACTTTAGAAAAACTCGCAACCATAAATTCTTTTTCAATATTCCACTGCCCTGCCTAAGTGAGAGCACTTACAAAAGCTAGTCCGTTGTCCATCAATTACTTAGCCTTATCTGCCGAGGCCATATGGTGTCGCCCCAACTTGGGCACAAAAAAAAATGTAATAACAACGAGATGGCGAAATTTTTACACACAATTTAGACACATTTCCGCACGTAGTTGGGTCCAAAGCCTAAGCTCCATGAGCTTCATAACGCCAAGCGGGAAAACAAAAGCCAAAGCCAAAGCCAAAGAGGAAAAACCACCACTGCGGAAAACGTCAAGAAATGCGACTGAGAGGAAATAATGTTAGGGGGCTTTTCAGGAAAAGAAGAATTTAATGCTCTCTCTATAAAGCTTATTAACTATTCTTCACTTTATAAAACTCTAACTTAAATCTAAAGTAAAAATAAATGATATAAAAGTAAATATTTATCCTTACAGAAATAACTAATAATTTTCATAATAATTTCTTAAAGTGTATCCAAAATTCTGTATTATCCCATAAAAAAGCGATGTAATGGCATGGTTTTATTTTAGCCAAGGCCTACTACTTGAAATAGCGCCCACCAAAAAATCTGTTAGCATTTGTGTCTATTAAGCACGAGCAATAAACTTCATAAATTTCACAAATTAGAATGATTAAATTTCATGTCCATGTAATTTCTAGCCAGCAGACGTGCCCACAGCTTTTGGGGTAATCAAATTTTTCACTGCCCCCTCCCCCAACGAACGAAATTAATGGAAAGTGATTTGGCAAAAGGCTAGGGTCAACACCTTTGATCTGCCGGCTAAACGCAAATACAATGGCCTGTCATCGGTGGGCTTAATCTAGCAATTGAATAATGTTTGGCGATCTATCTTGACGGGGTAATCAGGTTTAAAAACTCGTCACTTTTACAAGCATTTACAGTAGATATTGCTTAGGGGTAACAAATACATATTAATAAATGTAAAACCTAAGTGATTTCCCATTTGATGTAAGTGAAATTATGTAAGATAAATTATTACTTTTTTTCAATTTAATTTAAATTGATTTTAACCTGTTTTTTTTTTTGGCTTAATAGCACTTTGACTATAAGTAATGTCTACCGTTTATCGAGCATATAGCATGCGGCAATTGCCGTTTGTTCGGAAGCGACGAAAATTGGTCATATGATGTCCGGCGATAATTATTGTCAATTTATTGAATGCTCATTATTGAAATATCACTCATACGCCACAGTGGCATGCTAATAAACCCATTGAAACGAACGTTCGATGTCCGCAGTGAACTTTTAGGGCCGCAACCGCAACGCAGTTGCAACATTTGCATGTGTGTGTGTGAGTGATAAATGTTGCTGTATACAGTGGGGGTCACAATAATAGTACCTACTAAAAGGGGTAACTTTAATATCTTTAATGTTGAGAAAAATTAATTAAAAGGAAAGCAAAGAAACGGATTTAAACTTTTATAATAAAAGTAAGTTAACTAAGAGAAACCTTAAAGCTAGCTTACTAAATTTTTGATTTCCTTTAATATTTCTAAATGATATTGCTATTATTTTAGACCGCAATGTAAATAGTGCTGTATCAGTAGTGAGTGTCAGGTCGTGTCTATGTTGCTGCGGACAGGATGACCGCGCAATCACGATGACGATGCCACCTATTTCCAATTACCGATGATGCTGAGCGAGCACCAGCGACACATCAACCCACCGTCCTGGCCATGATTGATTGCAACAAAACCAGATTTTGGTTACTGTCATTTAAGCGCCAACTAACTTTCGAGTTGGCCAACACCCAAATCGAACCTCTATATGGCCTGGTCCATACGACCAACGTCGTATGTTTAATGCACGGGATAATTTTAATTGCGAACCGGCTGCATTTTTAATTAAACGCAAAATTAAAAAATTGATTGCTTTTTGACGCCATAACTTACATGGCGATAATGCCTGCTGCTTGCTCCTGCTGCCTAGAGCCAGTCGACTTTAGTATCTGTGTGGCATACTTTCCCACCGTTTAATATTATAAAATTTTAAATCGAAAAAGAGCAGTATGAGAAAAAACTAAATAAAAACAAAAAAAAAAAAAAGAAGAATGCAAGTGGTTATATAAAATTTGCATTTGCGTGGCACATGCGATGTGCGGATAAAGTTTGGCTATTTCTGGCTGGTTGTGTAGGTTCTTTTTTTTTTTTTTGCGACTCCTGCCAGCCGGAAGTAAAAGGTTTTAAGCGGAAGTGCGCAGAGTTGCAGCGACATATTGTGTTTTCGTATATGCATATGTGTGTGTGTGTGTGTGTGTATATGTAATTATATGGTAAATGTTGCGGAGACATGCAAAGCGACTCTTAGTTTGGCTGCTAGTTTGTTTTTTGAACGAGGTTAAATGAGGTTTAGGAAAAATATTCGAAACTGTTACGGGCAGTTCCTTAAACATTTTTATAACCCCTCATGGTGGTCCATAAAGATTATGCTGAATTTTAAATAAATAAAAGTATTTTCAGCTGGTCATTTCTTTTTTTTTTATTTCAATACAAGATTGATTGCGTTTGAATTGCTGATTAAATTAAGCATGCAAGAATGGTGATTTACATCAGGGTTTTGTTGTCCGGCTGACTTGCATTTATTACTCCTCCATCGAACCAATGACCATTAACATATAAATGCACCGACTCACCAATGGACCGTTTTTGGTATTTAATTAATGCAATTTTAATATGGCAAATTAATGAATTTTAATTCGTTCGACCAGCAACCGCACGGCGGCATTTAGTGAGGAAGATAAAAAAAAAGAAATAAAGCTGAATGCAAGGACATTGTCAATATGCCAACTGAATGCACTTGATTAATTTGTAAGAATTCTTTAGTCCCGCTTATTAATATTAATAGCTTCCCAATAACATTATTGAAAAAATGCATATAAATATTTGCAGCAATGAGTAGCCACTTAATCAAGTCGATTTCAATATTTGCTGTCAAATTGATTAAAATTTTAACAAAATAACTTTGATATTCGATCATAGAGTGTTATCTGATCCTTGTCGTAGATTTTTGTACTTACAATTTTGTATAAATTATATAAAAATATTATTCAAAAAATGGGTAAGATCTTTAAGCGAATTGGACCAACAGTGATCAAAAAAAGAGAGGATGAACCCAAGCTCCATGAGCCTCAGTTCATGTACGAAAGGTGGCAAAAGTTTATGCCACATTTGCGTTTCTCTCACATACCGCTCTACAAGAAGGTATCGATTTATAAAAGAATAGAACTCGTTCTTGAAAAAAACATTGGTCCTCATGTCTTTGTGATTATTGGCGATTCCCTCTACAAGTGCCAGCTCTGGGTACTTCGCAGCTTCTCTAAACGTTTAAAGAACAATATCAAGCAAAACGACTACATTAAGATACCCGAGGAAGTGATTGACAACGAGTTGTTTGAGATAATCTACGTCTGGATGACCTCCAATAAGGTATATTGTCCCTTGGGTAGGTTGTTGGATCTTCTAAATGCAGCAAAATATTTGAAGTGCATGAACTTGGCTGAGGACATCTTTCAGTGCCTTAACGATCATAGGTTTTTCAACGAACTAATGGCATTTAGGTGCTTTTTGGAGGCCAAACAAAGGGGCATCACTCCATTGGCTGATTCCATGCTGTACAGGGTGGACAAGAGCTTCTTGGTTCTGGTAGGTACGGAGGAGTATCTTAATCTGGATATCAATGACCTTTGTAAACTGCTCAGTTCAAATAGCTTGGCTGTGCAGACTGAGATTGAGGTGAGGTCTTTGGCTGAAAAAAGATAATTTTTATTTAATTTTATTTTCATTTTATTTATATGACTTACAGGTTTTTTATTCAGCACTTTTATGGCTGTATTCGGATTTTCAGAAGCGCAAACAGTATATTGGTTTAATCTTAAATCTAATAAGATTTACTATAATGCCACCTGAATTTCTTTTTAATTGGACGAAAAATCTCCAGGATCTGCGGCCAGAACTTGCTAATCATCTCTGTCACCAGTTCTATAATGCCATGATAGTCCAGCAGGAGACATTTATTGGTAGCTACACGTCAAAGTTTTATGGAAACTTAAATCGTAATTGGATGCGGGATCCCAAATGTCCTTACTATAAGCATCTTCATAGGAAATGCTACTCCGAAGTGACCGTAGAAGCATTTCTTTATTATCTAACACTTATTCAGAAATCATCGGATGACTTTATAGATCGCTTGGAAATCTTCGGAACTATATGCAATGGTCAAATAGTCTTTACTGGTTACGATAATGAGAAGTTGCCGTTGTACAAGTCCTGGGAATCGAATGGTGGTAATGAAGAAACCAATGAAGATAAGTTCCTAGATGACTTTGTAGAGTACAAGTCTTTGAAATCGAATTATAATATTAGCCAATTGGAACTTTCTGATACTGATACTGAAATTGAGGATTTAAAACCTCCAAGCCCGAAGGTGGCAGAAGTGGCTGCCAAAGAAAGCGTTCAGCGTGCTGCGGATAACGAAGATCCCTGGCAACCGAATTTCGTAAATGTTCATGAAAACCATTTCTTAACAAAAGTCACCACAAAATTAATAGAAAATTTAAATAATGTTTTCAAATGTGACTCCGACATGGATTCTGACTCGGACTCGGACTCCTCTAAGAGCTTTATTAAAGATGATTCTTTAGAATCCGGTAAGGAAATCCCTGAAGATAACGATACAGATTCCGATAGAGAAACCAGTGCAGATTCCTCTAAGTATAGCTCAGACTCTTCTGACAGTATCCCAACCGAAAACATTAAGTCTAAAGAATCAAATATAGAGGCCAAATGATGAGAGCCAAATAATGAGTATTTTTGAAATAAATTATAATTTTCCTTCACACTTGCATAATATTTACTTTTGGCTGAGATTGGGTTAAATTTCGCACATCTCGCCATGGAAAATTCTATGTTTTTTTTTGGACCAAACAAGGAAGCACTTAAATTGGGCGTAACAAAATGTCTGACACGCCAATTATTTTGCTTTTTATATAGGACAGACAGAAAGACAGACACTCTGACTCTACTCCTGTTTGTTGGTGTAACTACTCCTCCGGATCCTGGCAGTTCCTCTGCTTTTACTGTTCTGCGTGTTAGTTTTTATATATACGAGTTAGTATGCGGGTGGCTCTGTCTCCCTTTCCCTGGGTTCGAGGGAAATTTTCTGCTGCTTGCTTTTTAAGTGGTTTTATTGTTCACTTGTTTGTACTGCTTGTTACAACTTCGTTACTTTATTTTCATTCGCATTTTCCTTTACATATTGGTTTAAAAGTCAGTGAGCCATGGCCATGCAACGACGAGCAACGATGAGCTGCAATTTGCGATGCCCCAGATAGGTCAGCTTGTTGAGAAGTTGGTTAAGGTTTAACTGAAGGGAACTAATGATTGGCCATCTTTTTGAATGTAATTCATGTAAGATAATTTGATGTTATATAATAGTTATAAAAAGTGTTTATGTTTATGTTATGATTTAAAAAACTAATTTGGCGCGACTTAACCGATTACCGATTATATTACGAAGCTACAAGTTTTCAACTTTCTGTTTTCTTTCTTTCTGTTTCTTAGTGCTGGACCTTCTCAACCAGCTAGCTGCAGCTGTTCGATACTCGACCCATATCGATATTCGTAGGGCTGCCAACTTATGTGCCTAACTCCACCTCACTTTCATACTTTAAAAAATTCTTGATATTTATTAAAATTACTTTCTGTTCTCCATTAACAATAAAAATATGAAACGTTATGCTGGAAAACTAGTTTTTGTTTGGTAATATTACCTCCAGAGACCCCACAATTTGTTGAACTTTTTAGACAAAGTTTTGTGTATGTTATAAAGGACAGGTTTTTATGGCCATGATTTGCTAATTACATTTTGTTTATTTGGTAATTGGAGTGCAGCCAAAAAGTTCGTTTGCACTGAGTGAAAAAGTAAATGCAATGCAATTAGTCTGGTTATTTCAAATCTCCTCAATATCTCCGGTTGCTATTCCTATCATTACTGTCCGTCCAATAAGCCAACTATAATTTGTTTTGTGGGCTTAGGATAATGATTTATGACTTTCGTGCTGTCACATTGGGTTCCTTAATAAAACTAATTGATATATGGCTAAAGAATATTTCGGTAGGCCATAATTTCCGTTATGGCAAGCTCTAATATATTGATAGCCATCTGATTCCGGGGCTGGGAATATACATATTTGTGTTTAAATTTACTCTTTAAACATCCTCAATTCATTAGGATCTTCTCAGGTAAGCTATTCAAAGGCATAAAAGACACTTTGCACTTGGGTTCTTTCAGCATTTTCTTGACGCTTTTCTTTGCGTTGCTTTCCTTCTGCTTGACTGGTTAAATGCGCTTTTCCTGCTCGCTCACATTGCTGTTAGTTTACTGCTGACATTTCATTAAGTTCACGACCCCAGTTTGCCATTTGATTTCAATCAGGAAATGGAAGAGATTAAGTATGAGTCCTAGAGTCAATGACCCACATACTCTTTGTAGATGCAAATTTTGTGCCACTTTGTCGGCCTTACTAATTAGACATTATTGGTGCAAAAACTACGGAAACAAATTAGCACTCTCTGGTATTTTGAATTAAAAGCTATGGCAATCGAAAAGCATTGACAATGAGGCAGTTAATCACTGAATCCTATTGAGTATCGGTATCGATTCAATACTTGACAGAACTCTCTGTCAATGGCACCCAGGAGTCGGCACTTTCGGCACTGAAAATGAGCGCTTGCGGTATCGAAAAATGGCCCAAAGCAGCGAGCCTCTTTTGCTAGGCAACAATTGTAGGTTGGCAATAGAACGACGAGTAGGCACCGATAAATAGGAAATTTGCACTGAATTTGCATGCACGGCTTAATTGTTGGCCATGTTGTTAGGGCTCGGACGGCAGATTAAATCGGCCGTAATGCAAAAACGCAAACGGACCGAGGGGATATGCGCTGAAAATGTGACAAGGCCCGTTGCCAAATGAACCCGGTCCAAATCGCACTTCGAGCCAGCCAATTGAGCTCAGACCACCACTGGCCATTCACAATTTGCCTGTTCAGTTTGGCGTAAATTTTCCAATTTCAACATTTTCATTTGTGAAATTTTATGGTACTTTCCTCCACGTATGCATAACAATTTGTCATTTTGTTTCTATGGGCGAATTCTACTTACCTGCAATTCATTAACGTACTTTGATTTCCGACACATTTTAATTATCATTAAAACATTTTTGATTATCATAAAATGGAATAAAATTTGATCATTTGTTGGAAAATATTTTACTTGAGTGGCTACTTTGCATACTTTGAAATGAAATTGGACTAATAGGAGTGTTTAGAAAATAAATTGGTATTAATTTTGTAATATATTTTGTTCATATATCCCTTTGGATCATTTTTGGCATTGTTTTGGCCAAAATAGTAAACTTTGTAATCAAATTAATCAATTTTTATAATGCCTTACTTTTGGTTAATACAGCAAAAATAATTTTTTTCATTGAAAAACTGTCTTTAAAGAGACAAAGTCATTAACCTCGAGTTCGGTGAACTCAAAAACTTAGATATCCGTCCCCTAGTTCGTTTGGTCCTTTACAATGCAAATGCGGAAAAGCCGACAGAGGCTGGCTGGATGATTAAAATATAATTCATATGCCAAACCAAAGTTGTGGAACATTTCCGGAGATGTAAAAAATTCCTCCCCTCTCCACCTCACATAATCAACACATACATATTCATAACGCACACACACACACACACACACACCTTTCAGCTGCGTATGTGACCCACAGGTCTATGTGCGTGTGTGTTCGTGCGAAAATATTACGACAGGCCTGTCTTCCTGCATGTGACATAAATCTTGGGCAAATAAATAAAATCCAAAAAAAAAAATAAAAAGAAGGAAGATAGAGCGAAGACAGTGAAAGCAAATGAAAACGCACGCGTAGCAGTAAATTTTCCCGGTGGAAAGGCGGAAGAGGAGGCCAAAGGTGTTGGGGGCAGGTGGGACATCATGAACACCTAGACGTGCCGACAATTTTTGCATTTAAATGCGAGCAATTTGCCGGCGCCATCTGAAAGCAGAAGCAAATGAACGTCAACGTAGGGAAAACAAAAAACGTAAAAAAAACAGAGCAGGGAAAAACTGTTGCCTACTTTCTGGGGCCATCGAGAAGAAAATGGCGTTAAACGGATGTGAATCATGTGCGGAACTCCTCAACGAAAAAATGTCACAAAAAAATATATATATATAGAAATGAGCCAAGGAAAAGTAAAACAGTCGAGTGGCGGAAGCACCAAATGAAAATGATAATAACAATGCGGTGGCAGGCGTCTTCAATTATTGAAAATGGTGCGATTTGCATGGTAAGCGTTTCATTTGACAGCGGAAGTTCATTAGCGCCATCTGGCGTTGGGGCTGCAGCTCCCAGTAAAAAAAAGTGTATGTGAGTGTGTCTGTGTGAGTGTGTGTAAATTGCATTTTCCGAGTATCTCCAACACTTAATTAGAAACCGCAAGTGGAAAAAAAAGGGCAGAAAGAGTGCAGCATTAATTGTGGATGCGGTCAATTTGGAAGGTTACCAAGGGTATAAACGGATAGTGAGCTGTTATGTCTTTAATATATAAAAGTCTGGAAATGTTTTTTTTTAAGGTTAATAAAACCATCTTAAGCTAAATATCAAAGCAGAGTTTAAGAGGATTATTGTTCACGGCACCCAAAAGCATGCTTTAATTTTAGGAAGGAACTTTTAGTTTGAGGATGGTAATGGCTAGTTTATGCTCTCTTTGGAAACCACAATGAGCATCAACCAGTCGAAACTGCAAAGATTTTGCAAGATTTGAAAACCGATGAAAGGATTCAGTGCTACTTCATTCAAAATTAATTACACCCGCGGTTTTTTTTGCTGAATGGATTGGTCAATGGATTTTCCCTTACCCCTTTCCTGGATTCTCCCTTCGAAGTTGATTTTATATTTCACTCGGTCTGCGAGAGCAGTTAAATCACCGCCAAGGCGAAACCGACTGCTGATGCGAATGTGGCTGTGGCAGGCGTTCATCATTCGCATCATTATCGGGTTTTCCACATTTGGCACTTCGCCGAAAGATCGAGGGCCTCTGTGCTGAGAGAGAGAGAGAAAAAAAAGGAGGGAAAAAGGTAGAGAAAAACCAGGAAGCACGTGAAAAATCCCCACGGCTGCCAAATGCAGCGGTTGCTTTTGCTTCAATTGAATAATTCGTATGATAAACGAGTATGTTTGCCAATTCGAGTAGTGGGTGTGTGTGTGTGTGTGCATTTTATATGCCCTCAGGCGTTTCGATTTCACTTTTTGCTCTACACATTTCAATGGTTTTTCCTAGCGGCAAAGAGCTGGGCTTAATGCCTCTATCAAAATATTTTCCTGCGCATAATTTTTCGGCCATGTCTCATTTTGTTTTTGTTTTTATTGCGGTTTTTGTTTAATATTTTTTTGTGTAAACGCTGCTGGATGTTTGTGACACCTCAACGATATTGTTTGCTTCATAAATGTTAGCTTTTTGTAAGAGACAAGCGGGAAAATTTGGCATTTACAGTAGGTAGAGTGAAAGAGGTTAAAGTTGGGGGGGAAATGTAGTAATTTAAAGTGATATTATAAGAATAATCCTGGCTCAAGCTCAATGTATCTTTCATAAATTAGTTTTATGTATGATATGTATCATAAAAGTAACTTCATTCAAATCGTATCTTTGCCAGAACAAAAGCATTATATTGATTACATCTTCTCCAATTTAATAATAATAATTCTCTGACTTACATAATTAGGT